CATGTCTTGTGGCGATTCTTTGTGCAAATTGAAAGCACATGAAAAGGACATTGGATAATGTAACGGGTGACATTACTTACTTGTGACTCTTCTCTCCATGTCTTAAGGAGCTCTGCTGGTGCCATGGCTTACCCACTGGGCTGCTAACTGCAAGGTCAGCAGTTCAAAACCACCAGCCACTCCACAGGGAAAGAGGGGGACGAACCTGGCTTTCTGTTCCAATGACGATTTACAGTCTCGGAAACCCACGGGGGTGGCTCTGCTCTGTCTGATAGGGTTGCTGTGAGTCGGAATTGACTCGAGGGCAGTGAGAGCCAAGTCTTCGTAGCTCTCACCAAACGAACGGGTTGTTGTGGTGGTGGCTGTTTGGTGTCAGCAAGTCGGTCCCGCCCCATAGCGACCTAGTGACAATAGAACAAAACACCGCACAGTCCTGAGCCACCCTCCAATTGCTCCTACGGCTGAACCCAACAAGGCAGCCACTGTGCCAATCCAGATGATTGGGTGGGACCAGGCAAACAGAGTGTATGAGCACTAATAAGAGAGGGGGTGGTGGAGGTGTCAGTTTTGCCATTCAGCTGAGTCTAAGAGTGAGCCGTCTCCGAAGCAGGCACAGGAACCCCAAGGTCATGATGCAGGAAGAGTCACCAGCAGAGTGCGGGCCTGCCTGAAGTGACAGCAGGGGCAGCAGAAACCATCGCACTGAGACCACGGGGCTGAGCAGCGGGCAGACTGCCTGGCCCACAGAGGCCGAAGCCAAGGCACCACAGGGCTGAAAAGCCAAGGACCAGAGAACCAGGCCAGCCAGCATGACTGTGAACCCATGAGCTTCCCTATTAAGCCCCCACCATCATGAGCTTTGCCTGTGACTTCTGTGTGGCCTTTACCACTGATCGTTGAACCCAGCAGAGGACTCCCCAGCTGGCTTCTGAATGGGTCAAGGAGGATGGAGGGTGGTGCCATGTCTGACTTCGGCCTCGGCCTTGAGTTGGTGGGGGGTTGGGTTCTCCTCTCTACCTCACACCTTGAACCTGGACTCCCACCGCGGAACCCACCCCTCCAAGTGGCTCAGCAATGAGCTAGCAACTCTGGTCCCCAGCCCAGCAACTGCCACCTCCAGGTAATGCTAGGCTAGTCTGGTGACCCTGCTCACCACGCTGTCGCCTCGCACTGCCCACCTGGCAAATGGCGAGTGGCAAGAAAAGATGCCCCCATGCACCCACTCACCAGATAGTCACCACACCCTCCTCACCGGCCCACTCCCATGCTGCTGGGCTGATGACAGGGGAAGCCAAGGGCCACCTAGTCTGCCCTCAGCCACCCTACAGGACCCCCAAATAGAGGCCCATGTTCAAACGGGCAGTTGCTACCCCACCTAGCCAGAGACAGATGATGAGAGCGCCAGCCCCGCTAGACTACTGCCTAACCCGGCAAGCCCTGCCCACATAATGGTGTCAGAAGCAAACTTCCAAATGGAGATCCATCAGAACAGGCAGCAAGGCAGTATCAAGTAACGGGCTGTTCTGAATGTTGATTCTTCTTATTTGGATGTGTGTTTTTATTTCTAACAAAATCCCCTGAGCCCAGAGATGGGGAAAGGATTTACAGTTGTAAGAACAGACCGTGCAAAGGCACTGAGGTGGCACCACGCCTGTTTCGGAATCAGCAGGGAGTGGGTCTGTGTGGTGACAGTTATATGAGTAAGGATGGGAGGAGGGCGATGTGGTGGAAGATGAGGCCAGAGAAGAGTCTGTTGGCTGCAAAACAAACAAGCAAACAACCCAGAAACACACTGCTTTGGTTAAGGCAAATATTACGGATCACAGAGTTAGGGAGCCCTGGTGGCATGGTGGTCACATGGTGGGCAGCTAACCCCGAAGGCCAGCAGGTGGTAACCACCAGTAACTGTGGGCAAACAATGGGGCTTTCCACTCCCATAAAGAGTGACTTACAGTCTACAGGGTTGCTATCGATGGCATGGCATCAATGGCGGTGAGTTTGGTTTGAGAGGTACGGATCAAAAAGGCAAAGATCAGGATAGAAGGTGGCTCCCCTCACAGAGGGGTCACAAGGAAGGGATGCGTCAACCAGGGTGCAGTAAAGCACCGATGAAACACAATATTCCTCTGGTTCCTTGAGGCTTCCTCACTGCACCCCACACCCCACTATCATGACCCCAGTCCTGCCTTTCACTGCGGACTAGATCGAGGCAGAGTCCCACAGTGGGAGGTCCATGATGGTCACTACCTGCCTCGTCGCTGGCTAGGGCGAGCCTCAGGCTAGCAAGATGAAGTCTCCATTGATCTCATAGGAACCTGCACTCTTCCAGACAAACAACAAACAGCTCACCAACTCTCAGTTTCATCGTCTGCTTCCTCAGCCACAGGACAACGAACGGAAGGCTTGCAAACGAGACGCTCCACACTTCATGCAGCTCATTATCTGACTTGCTCTCACCCTCAACTTTCAATCGGAACTCTGGAGATGCAAGCAGAGTCTCATCCAAACAGAAGTGTTACCCTGCCTGTTTCTGTAGTAGTAAATATCTTTTAAGGACTTGACTACTATCCTAAAGGTTGGTGGTTCAAACCCACCCAGATGCAGCTTAACAGACTGGTGGCCTGTGATTTGGTTCTGAAGGTCACAACCTGAAAACCCTATTTCGGGCCTTCCTACTCTGTAACACATACGTTTGCCAGGAGTCAAAATCCACTCGGGAGCAACTGCATTACTGTGGGGGATGGAAGCGGCTAACCTGCCCCGCTATGAACCCAAGGGGTGGCAGGAACGCGCCCTCCCTGCGCGTCTGCGGAGCTTCTTTCTACTCGGACACAGGAGTTGCCACCAGGCAGAAGCAACTCGATGTCACCCGATTTTTTTTTTTTATGTCTCTTTGCTTGACACGCAGGTTGCCAACTAACAAGTCAAAGGTTATTAAACGGAAGAGTGGATGGGGAGGGACAGGGGTTTCCACAAGCCGTGCTTTGTTTCTGGAATCCATGTTTACGTGCCACTGAGGCCTTTCATGTAATGAGCCAAATCGTATCTCACACACGTAAATAGCATCAGAATTGAATGCAAGTCAAAATAATGATTTGCTAAGATAATTTGTTTCAAACAGCTTAAACTACTTAACATGATTTAGGAATCATTGAACTGTTTTCTGAGGGGGAAAAAAGCAAACAAAGTCATAGGCAGGTTCTTAAATTCTGATCTTAGACTGAAACACAGCAATTTTCACGGCAGTGCCCACACTTCAGGGGACTTTTCTCCTCCCCGCTTCAGAGAAGTAATATAGCCGTAGATGGTTTTCAGGTGCCACGCACACCCTCTTCTGGTCAGTTAGCAGAAAAACATCACCAAGAGGGCAAGAATTCTTTTCCCTGAAAGAGTACAAACACTAGCTAGTTATAGACCTTATGAAAAAGCCCTTTTTTTGTGACGCTTCATCAGAAACATTAGTGGTCCCGACGATATGGGTGGCTATAGAAAAGTGTAGGGAAGAAATCCAATGTGGTACTATCATTAAAAAAAATAGCATCTAGGATCTTAAAACAGCAGCCATCTAAGTGAGATGTCAGCTCCATTCACATGGAAGCAACATGTCAGCCTGTGTGATCTAAGGATTATAAATAATAAAATCCACAATCAGAGGGCATTGTAAATTATGTTAGTTTCCATTCTGAGCACCCAGTTTTCAGGCTAGACACCAAAAGTCCCCATGAGAATTAAACCTTCGTTGAATTGCTTCTGACCATTGGCCAGGGATGTGAAGACTTGCCCTCAGAATACACTACAAAGTGAGTTAGAGCAGTTAGGGTAAATTTAACATCCTATTTCCCCTTTGACCAATTTTCTTTCTCTTATATTGATGTTTTATTTGGGGGTGGTGGTGATTATGAATCTATTTATATGAAAGCTCATATGCGTAAATCTATAGAAACAATAATGGTTTATCAGGGTTCTGGCAGGGGAAGTGGGGGAACAAGGAGCTAATAATAAATGCAAAAATGTAGAAAATATTCTATGTAAGCTGTGATGATTGCACCACCTTTTAATATATGCAAACCCAATGAATTACTGAGTACATAAACTATGTCAGCAACTGCTGAAAACTATATTAACATATAAGACTGACTATATATAAAGAAAATTAGTGATCCTATTTCCGGCTATACCTGCTCTTCCAAGATTCTCTAAATTTCATTTTAACACTATAACAAGGTCTAAAGTAACTCTTTAAGAGTGTTAAGGTAAAACCCCATAGACCCAGCCTTTAAAACAAGTCAGTTCAGTTCTGGCACGTTTTACATGCCAGGATTGTGGTGAAAAGTGCATTTGGGGTTACACACCCTGAACACAAGTGCTGCCATGGTCAAGTGCAGTAACCACGAGTGTGCACTGTTGACCAGCTCTGGATCCCAGTTCAGCCATTTAGAAGCTGTTTGAAGTTGAGCGAGTCCCTTCACATCCATGACTGCTTCATTAGATTCTAAGTCTCTCTCTCCTTGGATTGTTATGAGAATTAAATGTATTAATTTTGCAAGATGATCTGAAGCCGGTTCTATAGGAAGGAATCTGTAGGAGCCTTCTCCAATCACCAGCTTGCGCTCTGTTAGCTGACAAGCCCATTCAACAGACCGCACCACTCTTTCCCACGGGGATTCTCAGTAACTCCTGCACACACTTCCCAGTCTTCTGTGACAAAGACCAAGCGAGCACTGAGCAATGCAAGAGCCCAGCCTTTTTGTTTTCCCTATCCTGCACAATATGGGTAAGTCACACATGCTTTAAGCATCTCTTCAGAAATGACAGACTACATTTTAATAATCATTTTATTAGTTACTGAAGAATCCCCACTAGTATTTACATAGTGCAAAAGCTATTATTACCCCCAGAAAGTGATAAAACAATTATCCTTCATACAACAAAAGAACAAGATGGAAACGCCTTCGTGTTATAGCTCACACTAATTTTTGCTAGCATTTTATTAGAGCATTACGATTAAGACATTAATTTATAAATCTATGTGGTACATTTAGAAATTAAATTACAAAATAATACAAATACTTTTAAGGTATGAGATGCCAACATAATTTAAACTTTTATCATTAATTAACAGTGAGATTTTAATTAGGAAAATAGTGTGTTTCCATGATGTATATACTATTAGAAGATAGAAGAAAATTTAAATCAATAAAAGATAATTAACTTTGTAATGAATTAAGTTAATGTTCTAACTTGTTGGCACAACATACAGAAAATACTTAAAATGACAAGTTTGTTTTTATTTAAGCAAACAGCAGCTTTACAAACAATAATACTTCTTACACATATACTTAAAGTAACAATGTGTTAAGATTTATGTTTATGTTCAAGAGTTGAAAATGAATGTAGAGTTCACTACCCATTTGCACATTACAAGTCCCACCCCTCCCACCTCCCCTAGCATATTAAGAAATCAGACAAGTGCATTTATTTGGATATTAATTTCTCAATATTTAAACTATGTGAATTCCTTTTGACTACTTCTTTACCAAATACTGGAGAATAGAAAATACCTTCTCTGCAAAAATGATCTGCAGTCAAAGCCTCTAAAAACTTTCAATGTATAACACATTATTGTTCTCATGTTTCGTCAAAAGAAATATATTACATCATTTACAAACATTTAAACCCAAAAGTAGGCTATTATGAACATTTGTCTCTTGAGAAGTACTCTTCACAGCAAACAAGCCTGCTGAAGCAGAAACCTAATTCAGGGATAATAGTTCATAATTCACATACTTCTATATGGAAATAAACACCCACTGTTAAATTATTGCCAGTAAAACAAACTCTACAAACTAAAAGAAAAATCACCATGGTTTTTGATTGCTTGTCTTGATGAACATTACTATTAGATCCGTTTCTGGGTCTCTGAAGAGCCACCCCACCTTGCACAAAGCAACAAAAAACTCCACACTTTCCTGTTTGCACACCTCCTCCAAAGCCTGCAATTCAACAGACACAGACTCCAAAATTTATCTCAAGGAAACAAATGTTAAAGATCCTACAGTATTAGTACTTACTTAAGCGCACTTCAACATAGTAGTATTTCCTTGATTAGATTTTGGTTTGTTCTCTTAAGAGTCGACCTGCCTTCTACATTAAATAAAAGCAGCAAAAACCACTGTGGTCCCCTGCATTTGCTGGCAGACGAGGTACTGCATGTGTGAGAGCGTCATCGAACACAGCGCTGAACACTTCTCGAGTCTATAGCAAAGTTAAGTTATTGGTAGTCTGAGAATCTCCTGAACTTCTCTTTGATAGAAACATCAAAAACCTAAAATGATAATTCATGTCCCAAATAGATATAAGACATCTTTAAAAAGTCATTATCTCAAGATCAAGAGTTATCTGAATCACTGACACCCAGTCATGGAAATTTACACCACACAAAGTATAGAAAGATTTTACATTCCCTTTAAAGACGGTCAGTAGTTCAATATCCCCATCATTTCTTTAAACCAACAAATATTACCAAATGTGTAGAGACGGTAAGATCTGCCACATCCAAGTCCACAATTCCTATTTCGGAGGCTTCATTCCTTATACGTCGCATGTCTTTCAATGTCGGATCCCAACCTCTGAGAAGGCTATACTAGAGAACAGCTTAAACAGGGCTGCATAAAAATGTCCGCTAGGTAAGGCTGACATTTTCCACACAGCAATGCTCCTAAACTTCCACAATTTACAAATCCTAAAACATTAAATAAGAACCTGATCTCTCTAGTAATTATATGCAGCCGGCATTGTAAAATACCAAAACTGGTAGTCCCAATGAGTTCGGCCAGTAACCTGGCCCGTTCTCTTTTTCTGCTTGTGAAGCAAAAGCAGAACAGAGAAAACATCCCTCCCTCTTCGCTTCTAAGCTTGAGAGAGCTTCAGAGAGCCCTGGTGGTTCAGTGGCTAAAGCACTCAGCTGTTGACCCAGGAAAGCCCAACTTCTGGGCAGGAGAAGGTGGAGACAGTTGACTTCCTTCCATACAGGCTTAGAGCCTTGGAAAGCCGATGGGCAGTTTGACTCTGTCTCTGAGTCAAAATTGACGAGGTGGCAGTGGGCTTAGTTTTGGTTCTAAGAGTTTGTAAGCAGAGAGCTGGACTGTGTGTCTATATATGGTCAGTTGGCTTCTGGTGTATTAGAGGGAAAACAAAATAGAAAAACAGTTTGTAACTCTCCCACCATTACATAAACATACAGAGGTCACTAGGGTCCAGCTGGTGACCAACAAGCAAATAAAACATTTAGCTACATTTAATTTCTCCCAAGCAGGTAAGCACATTTCCTAGGGAAGGGCAGAGATAAATAATAGTGATCCTGATGCTTGCAATTACCTACATACTCTAAATCACCTAACAGTTTCGGAATATTTAGAACAACTTTCTCCTTTCTTCTTTAAAACGTTCTCATCACCAAGCCTTGAGTGCTCAGAAGATCAACACTAAGTTGAGGACAGTTCCTTTCCTTGACTTCTTGTCCATGATGACGGCCGAGGTCAGGTCAAAGGGGCTCCGGCGAGGCACAAAAAATACATGAAAGAAAAGGGGACACCACCTTTCCAGGGATGGGTTTGGATACGCCAGCAGGTCTCTAGCTCAAGTCAAACGAATCCAGAATCAGAAGTGTCCAAGAGAATACACCAGTACAAAAAAGATCTGTGTCTGAATAGTTTACACATAAATTCTGTAGCCATACAATTGCTTGTTCAATTCACCTGCCAAAATCTGCCAAGTTTTAAGTCAATAACATTATGTACAAAAGAACATTCCTGAGGTCAGTAAGAAGCAAATATGAGACAGGACCTGGAAAATCCTATCCAATATGAGACAGAACCTGGAAAATCCTTCTCACTATTGTAGACATTAATCACTTCCCACAAATACGGCCGGCCATAATCATTCCTACTGCCTGCTTTCCTTTGCTAGCCTATGTTTTCAGAGGCTCTGTTTCGGCCCATCCTGGTGTGAAACTGCGTCATAACGTTAATGGTGACTGCTGAAACAGAGCATTTGTGGACCGGTTGGGAGTTGCATCAATTTCTAGTTTTCTGATTTATATTAGTTCTCTGGTTCTTTTTTTTAAGAATCCCAAATAACGTTCTAGTCGGCAAATTAGAGCGAAGGAGACAGCATCTCGAAGCAAAACGTTGGTACCTGCTCCTATCCTTAGATCTTTGCTCTTTAACTTCCAACATATGTCTAGGCATTTTGTTTATTTTCCTTAAAATTAAAACATGGCCTTTATTTTCTTAATCATTATTTTCCATTACAAAATAAGCTGCAGTGGATCTAAAGGTTACATAGTTCTCAGAAAGACACTCAGATGTTAATTAAAAGCTAAGCCCTAGAGCAGGGGTGCGGCACATCCAGCCCTCGGTCACTAAGGCCCATGAAATCAACGCCGGCTCACAACACACACCGCACCAGAGAAGTAGCTCCAGCCACCACAGTGGGGGTAAGTTAGTAAAACAACTGACCAATACGGCCCACGGATGATGTTCATAAATATCCAAATGACCCTTGGCAGAAAAAAATGTTCCCCATCCCTGCTCTAGAGTATAACAAAAGAAGTAAAAGACAGCTACAAAAATATTTGCTGGGAATTAAATACATATATTAAATACTGAACAGTGCAAAACGCTGAGATGAAGCATCAAGGTAATGGTTGCAACCCTTCCGCGTTGGAGACAGACAGCATTTCCTGAGTTAAACACTCTGGGGTGCACAACTACAATCAGAGTGCTCTTCATTCACTGAACTGCAGTTGCTGGGCTTTTGCTGCTCGTGGGCTGACTGCGGGTCAGCAGTCCACAGTTCACTGTCCGTCCCTGGCTCCAGGGGCTCAGGGCCCTCTGCTTCTTCTTCTCCACTTTGTTCTGCTGTGTCTTCCTCCGAACCAGCAAGGGTCTTTCCAAGCTGAAGAGTTTCCATAGTTCTCTGAGTCTCTGAGACCCAAGACTCAATTCTACTATTGAGCTGCACTTCTACAGAGATGGGCTCATGAGCATAGTCCTCCTCGTCGTCATCGTCCTCCTCCTCCTCTTCTTCAAGCATGCCAGGTACAAGAGTGCTGGTGGTGCTAGTGATGGAGGAGTTCAGGAGGTCTCGGCAACTGCCGTCCAAAGAGCCCGTCTCCGTACTCTGCTGTGAGGCCCACTCCAGGTCATCCGGCTTCACCTCCTCTCTGTCCGTGGCTGGAGACTTCCCGGGGTTTGTGGAGAGGGGAGCACCGCCCGCAGACACCAGCAATGGCTGCTTGCCCACAGGGGCTGCGTCCAGTGGCAGTGTACTGGGGTTTTCGGATGAGCTGTGCTTAACGGCAGCTTCTTTCTCGTTTTCTGATGTTTCCAGGCCATCTGATGTTTCTACCATGCTTCTCCAATTTGTTTCTGAAAATTATCCAAAAAAGATGTTGTTTAAAAACCACAACACTGTTTGAGAACCATGCTACTTCTAAATACCCACAAGTAAGAGGGAAGAGCAAAATACAGAAATAGGTTGACTCAGCAAATGACTGGAAAAACGAAGAAATTAAATTTGTTCCAAAACAAGTTTAAGTGTTATAAAGAGAATACAAATTTCAAAAAAGGACTTTCACGATAAAGACAGATGTGATCATAAACATGTGCCTTCAATGACAAGTCAATGTAGAGCAGAAAATGTATCAGAATCTTAGGAGGTACTGCTCTGCCACCCTCCTTGGTCTTTCTGCTTTTGCTTTTTAATGAAAATAGCTTTTCATTTGAATTACAGATACCACTAACTCTATACGGGCATGATCCGTAGCAACTTACAGTGATATAAGCAAGCACACGATGGCCTATACATCACGTTAAGACATCCAACTTAATGGTTATCCATAACAGCAGAGTGCGGCAGCCCCGATTCTGGGTATCTGAAGTCTGGGTACACGGTATGAAAAAACCCTTCTTTCCTGCAGCAACTTCAAGAGGAGAACGGACTCTCCCTGCTCTGACTCCAACTCAAGAGTGATCTACTCTTACATCCTCCCATTCCCAACTAGCAGTGGTATCGTTTGCGCGGCTTCAATGCAAATGGAAGATTGCAGGCATCCCTGAACTTCTCTTCCCTCCGCCGTCCACTGAACTCTTCACTACAGCTACTTCTGGCTACAGCATGGCTAACTTTGGGCCTTTCTCCACGTTCCCATCGCTACTCAGGCCCGGGCCTGCCTAGCTAGCTATCCAGCTATCCATTTCCTGTGTGCCTTGCAGAGGGGTCACACCACGTCCACGTACCTGGTTTTCCATTACCATCGGATAGGACCTAACACCCCTCATGACGTGAACACTTCACCTACCTCTCTGGTCTCGTTTCATTCCAACTCTCAAACGGGCATTCTGAAAGCTCACCGCTCCGGAAGTCCTACACTTTCTATTCCAACTCCTTGCTTACACTGTGTTTGACCCCTTTAGCCTTCCTGCTCCAGGTTACCCCTGATGGTTGCTCGCTGGCACGGAGTTGGCGCTAGCTCACAGTGCCCTTACACGTAACCTAAGAAACCATTGCCCAGTGCTGCGGCACGCTCAGAGCTGTTGCTGTGCTGAGGACGCTGCTGCAGTCACGGTGCCGATCCAGCTCACGGAGTTTCTTGTTTTCGCTTACTTACGTTTCCCTTTACCAAACGATGCCCTTTTTTGGGTGATGAGCTTTTTTCTGAACGATGCGTCCAGACGAAGCAAATTGACATTTCATCACTATTACTTCTAAAGAATACGCTCGCTGTACTTTTTCCGTGATAGATTTGTTTAATTTCCTGGCAGTCTACAGTATATTTAAAATTCTTCCCCAACACAATTCAAATGCTTCCATTTCCTGTGGTCTTCCGTTTGCCCTGTCCAAGGTCCACACGCAGAGATGGTGACCGAGGAGACCATGACTTAAACTAGGTGCTCCTTTATCATCCAAGTGGCACCTTGCTTTCCGCCACTTGAACAAGGGCTGTTCTGGCGCAGATCTTTTTCCAAGATTTCTTCACGACTGTTTCCATGGGTGTGAATTACTGATCCAAGTAGAGTGATATCCTGGACAACGTCAATCTCTTTGCCATTTATCATGCTGTTGTTGATTGGGCCAGCTGTGAGAATTTCAATTTTCTTTATGGTCATGTACAATCCATATTGCAGCTTGAAGGTTGCGTCACCTCCACCTGACAGGTTGTTAAACACCCTTTCTCCAATCCGGAGAACACATCTTGGAGAACCACCTTTCATTATCGATTGCTTTGTGAAATCTTTTCTAACTTTCTTGAGAAGGATTCACTAACCTGAACTCTGCAGCACGTTTTGCATATATTTCAAAAGCATTTATTTTGATGTCTGCTGTTCCAGTCCCTCATGCCTTCCCCTTCGCACTGCAGCTGTGCCGTTGTGTTTGGTATATGAGAAGAACTCAGGGGGGCAGGAAGGGTGTCTACTAAATCAAGTACTTCAGACATATATAACTGTATAAAAATACATGGGGATTTTTAAAAATATATAGATGCACATTTACATTTTCTTCTAACAGTATGCAAACGTACTGTTAAGAATTCACTTAGAGTGTCTGTATTAGTCTGGGTACTTTAGAGAAACAAATCCACAGAAACTCATGTAAAAGAGAGTTTTATGTAATGGTTAACTGTGCATCAAGAAAGCATCCCAACCCAGTGCTGCCCACGCCCACAGGTCCAACATTAACCCATTAACCCATATGTCCAACACCAATCCAAAGTCCTCCTCCATCTCACAGAGCAGACACAATGACGCCGACTGCAGGAGGAAAGCCGAGTCAGTGAGTGTGTAAGCATCTCAGTGCTGGCAGGGGTCTCCACACGGCAGCTCCAGCACCCAGGGCTGCATCGGGGCAGGTCCATGTGGCTTCTCCTTGGGGATGTCTTGCAGGAAGTGAGCCTTGCCAGCTAAAGCAGGGAACTGGCAAAGGCAGCTGCACTCTGGTGCAACCATCACAAAGCAAGAGACCCGAGAGCTAGAAAGGCGAAGCTCATGGAGCCATGTATCCCTCCGCCCTTCAATTAATTCCACATGTGTCTATCGGCCAGGTTGGCACAATAAACTAAATAACTCAGTGTCTTAGAAAAAGTCTCAGGGCGCTAAGTGAGGTTTCAGTGGAGAATGTGAAATCAGAACACTGAGATGATTCCATGTAAAGAATGGGCCAGAAAGGTAGGCTCAGCTATCTCAACAAACCTGGAAATCTCTCTCTGATTTATTTAAACAGAACTCAGAAAAGCTCTATTTTGCAGGTTGATCCCTCCTAAGAATGAGAAAATTGGACAGCAAATAAGGAAAGCCAAAGAAGAATAGATGTATTTGAGTTAAGGTGCTAGCGAAGAATAATTAAAGTACCACAGACTGCCAGAATAATAAGCAAATCCATCTTGGAAGAAGTACAGCCAAAATGCCTCCTAAAAGTGAGGCTGGTGAAACTTTGTCAGTGATCTCTCCTGGCTAAAGAAACAAGGGAAGTTTCCTGCAAACATTTGCTTTCACTGATAAACGGAACATACTGCCTGGAAGTTCGACTTTTGGTTTTGTATACCCAGCACTGCAGTAGTCACCTAAAGCAAGCATGAGATGATACGTCCAGGACAAAGCTAGACTGAGAACAGAAGAGAAGGGAAAGCGCTCTGATCCTGCTGACACTGTTGAGCTCTTACACCAGCTCTCACCTACCTCCCTTCTGAGATTTCACATGCACCACAATGAAATATTCTATCCGAGGCTAGTATCAGTGGGCTTTATGTTTCTAGTTGAATGTAATGTATCTGATACAGATAAAATAATTTGAGCTTTGCTCCCAAGGTTACTTATGATAATTTCTGCCAATTCCACTTGCATTCTGACAAATCTGGGCCAGAACCTACAAAATTCTATGAGGCGCCCTCCCTAGGATTCAGCCTCTAGTTCACAGGATTTCAGCTCTGAGTAGAAGCTTACAGATAGATGCCCTAGTCCCACCTTCTTTATTTCACTAGAAGAAATCTGAGGTCTAAAGATGAGTGGACTGTATACATATCTTAAAAAGCTAAGACACTGAATCTTGTAACACTTTAAGTCTCATGCTTTTTGCAAACATCTCTGAAATCTATCTTTTATATAACGTGTTGTTATGTGTGCTCTTATAAAGACCACCTGTCGATTTGTCATTGGCCCACCTAGAGCGCTATGAATTGATCAGTTTGCCTATGGAATATGGCATTTCCTAAGCTGAAGAACAGATCTCACAAACGTCGCACTTCTTCGTCTTCATTTGCAACAAAATATCACACCGGCAAGGAAGTAACCTCACAGTGAGTACCCCTGCCCAGGACCAATAGTTTCCTACAGATCCACAAGAATCTGTTAACTGCCTCTGGTCTGAAACCTTATCGAAAGTATTCCAACAGTCATTGAGAATCACAGACTAGGAAAATAGAAAAGGAACTGTGTGAAGGAAAGCAAAAGACTGCTCTAGAGTTCCCTGTCTGACATGCTAACGGGCTTTTTGGGGAACTCTCAAGTTCTGTTAAAGAAAGAAAGGGGGGCCAAGATAAAGGAGGCAACTGTCAAAAGAGAAAAAGAAAGAAACAGTGGAAACTAGGTCAAGAAAAGAGAGAGCTTAGTGGCTCAGAGTATTAAACAAGAGAGCTTATGATGGAAGGTACAGTCAGTAACACTGAACATATAAAATACTATTTTTTACATATTCTTTTGACCACAATGAATATTTAATTCATAACAAATGCCACATGTCTAGATTTAATCATTTCATAAACCTAGACTTAACTATTGTTCATCTTATACAATTTTAACAACTGAGTATAAAATATTAGGGTAAAATGACAACCCAGTATTTACTTTGTTCTAAGTAACAGGTATGTATGGTACATTTGTTTTAAACCTCAGCTTTTTTTTTAAACTATGACCAAATTCCCGGATCTCACAGAAAGCCTAGTCCCAAACAGCCTCATACATTCTCATGTTTGGTAAACAACAAGAGAGAAAGCACAGTCAGCTTCTGGAACAAGCACTTACCATATTCCTTCTCGTTGACTTCGGAGATAGGCTCAGAAATAACACTGCAGAAAGAAACCGCACTGGCTGCGGACGGGTTCCGAGAGTGGCCCATGTGGTGTGGGCCCTTCTTCACATTCTTCAGTGCTTCCTCAGCCTGCTCTTGCTCCATGGCTGCCACCATATCTTTATATGCTTTCCTCGCTTCTTCAGTGAGTTCTACTAGTTGATTAAACAGGCTCTAAAAATGACAAGAAGCAATTCTGATTAATCCACTTGTCACAATTTTGATCCCTAATAATTAGCAATATCCCTACTATTTCAGGATCAAGTTATTTTCAATCAGCACAAAATCAAAATGGTATTCTAGCAAGCCACAAAACCTTCTAAAGTGCTCTGAAACAAATACATATATTGCTAACTTCATGTTCACCAGCCTGGGGAAATTTCTTGATTCTAATCCTCGTCACAAAATATATATTAGAAGTTCTAACAGACTGTATTAATTCAATAAATTCACACTCTCTATTGTTTGGCACAAGGGATATTACTGCTTGTGTCAGAAAGATCTGAGCTCAAAGCAGAGAATGTTTACTTGTGATTTATTGGCGATGCCAAGGTATTCAACCGTGTGGACCATAACAAACCACTGACAGCCTTGAAAAGAACAGGAAATTTTCACTGTACACATCCAAAGGCTGTACATGGATCAAGACGCAGTTGTGCAAACACAACAAAGAAATACTAATTTAAAATCAGGGACGGTGTGCATCAGGGCTCTATCCTCTTACCATACTTATTCAATTCTTTTCCTCACAACTTGAACAAGATTGAAGTTGTCAAGGATTTTTGTCTTGCTTGGATCCATCATCAATATTCATGAAGCAGTAGTCAAGATATCAAAAAACATGTTGCATTAGGTTAATCTGCTGCACAAAATTGCTTTAGAATTTTGAAAAGCAAGGATGTTACTTTGGGGACGACTAAGGTGATCCTGACCCAAGCCATCACAGTATTTTCAATTGCTTCACATGCATGTGAAAGCTCAGGACATTTGAGAAGAATGAAGAAAAACGGATGCATCTGAATTGTGGTGCGGGAGAAGAATATTTTAAGTACCATGGACTACTTAACAGGACAACCAAATTTATCTTGAAAGAAGTAACATCCAGAGTGTTCCTCAGAGGTCAGGATGATAAGACTTTGTCTCATGGCACGTGCTTTGGACATGTTGTCAGGAGAAACCAGTCCCTAGAGCAGGGCGTCACATTTAGTAAAGCAGAGGGACCACGAAAGAGAGGAAGGCTCCCAAAGAGGTGGGACTGACACAGTGGCTGCAACGATGGGCAGCAGAGGCACAATTGTGAGGATGGAGAAGGACCAGGCAGTGATTCGTCCTCTTGTGCACAATGTAGCTATCTGACAATACATAGGGGAGAGACTATGATTGGAACACCAACTGTTACCTAAGCACTTTCCACAGCAACTATACTATGTGTGGTTTCTGAATTAACTGGTTAGCATCGGTGAGGAACTTATAACGGCAGATGATATAGCTGGAGCTTTGACAATGACAAAAATATAACCCTTACAAAGTAGACAAGCATGGTTGGTGGGCCAAAGGCAAAGTATGGAAATGGAACATAAGGCCTAGAAGTAGAATGTGGAGTTAAGAAGTTCCTCCATTCGTGAAATTATAACAAAGATTGTTAAAAAAGAAGTGACCACAGTGAAATGGTAGGGCCACCGAGAATACCTGTGTCAACGCAATGGCAAAATGTCTGTACTGTATAGCATTAACTGATAGCTAAAAAGTGATATCCCAAAATATCAAAGTTTCCACAGCCACCAGAAACACAATTGCTTTTAGTAGATCTTATGTCGCTTTTCGGCAATATTCAGTTCATATTAATATCTAAACCTAGTACCGCAATTTAAAATGTGAAAGGGGCATTGTTTTAGGGTGCTGACTAGTCTACTCTGACTCATGGGAACCCCAGGAGATAGAACAGAACTGTTCCATTCGGTTTTCTTGGCTTTAAGTGTGTGGTTTTTGTTTCTTTTTTCCCCTTAAAGAACAAAATACAGAAAAATTCAGAAATGACTTCAGTATACAGTTGAGTTGAATTTTCATAAACTGAACACATATAACCAGCATGTCCACCCTAAACAGGCACTATCCCCATCAAACGACAGCTTTCTGGGCTGTAATCAGTATGGAGGTTGAATGTCAAGCCTTTTGCCTGCAGAACTGATGGGTTGATTTGAACCACCAACCCTTGACCTAACTTCTGTGCCCTCACATGCTGCACCACCAGCTGGCACACATGACGTGAATGCACACACACATTTACGGTGAAGTATGTGAGGTTGGCT